CGTTGGGGCGAAGGTGATGAGATATCAGTCGAAAACTTTACTTTCAGGGCTGAGAAGCTACGGCTAGGATCTTATGGTCGAGCAGAGGGGGCAAAGAAACTGGTGTATGTGGTACTCAGTCCCGAAGATGAATCAAGGAGGATGGTAGGGCAGTTTGAACCGGCAATACTCTGGGATCTTATTCCCGACAGCTAGGGGAGTAAGCAATTATATCAATGCTGACTGGTTGTCTGTGCATGAACCTTCGACTTCCTGTTTTGGGCTCGCATACACGTTGAAGGAGAGTTCGACTGCCGAGTGGAGTCGGATGCATCGGCACTCTCCATCGCCCGACGATCTGTACCCAGCAAGGCGACGTCAATGCAGACATGACGAAGGCGCCTGCCTGGTCAGGAAGCCCAATGATGCGCATCACGCGTGTTTCGTTTCGAAATGGCTGAGGCTTCAAGGCTGAGGCAGCCGATGTTCCCGATGCTTCCCACGTAACCGGTCCTTCTGCGCGTGACGTTATGTGGGAACTTGCCGGCAAAGCCGAACGCCCTTTTGGAAGCTTTGCATGCATGCCTCGGACAGGGAGTGTGGCATAACACGCCGAAGAGCAGGATGATACGCTTTTGTTGCAACCGCCTGTGCCACAGCCACAGGTAGTGCGAGAAGCCTCTCTGGAGGTCAAGTTCGCAGTGGGGCTCTTGTCTACATGGCGAAGTAGAGGCGGCCAAAGCGGTGATAGGGTCTTTGTTAGATGGAATCGCAATTTACCCCACGGCGATTGCGGCGCATGATGAGAGGAACAGGCTAGCGGGCTGCTATCTTGGGCAAGGTGAAGCATGGGGCCAAACAAGGACGGATGTGGCGCCGGCCAATGGCAGACTTGTGGCAAAGAGTTGCAGGGCCTTCAGCTCAACTGTGAGCTTAACTTGATCTTTATTGCTTCTAGATTCTAACTGGTAACTAGCACAGCTTCTTCGCTATAATAGCGTTGTGCTAATCTGTTGTGGACACTATCTTCATGATCTCCTCCCACTCCTTCGCCTTTTTGTCCTGCCCTTCTTTGATGTGGCACCCGCGTTAGAAGGTTTGAAGCTTGTTGGCCTCCTTGTAGAAGCTGTAGGTGGCTTGAGCGCAGATAAATAGGCGCTCCTTGGCGATAAACTAGCAGTCTAGCTTTGTGGCCTATAAGATTATATTGTTGCTGAGGTATATGACACAGTTAGGGCAGGTAGAGCCCTGGAAGGTTAGCTTTAAATAAGGGAAGAGAGCGTCTGCTTACGATTAGATGGGAGGCGTTGTTTGTAACGGGTTGTAGCTTCTTAAGCTAGGATGCGAGATTTGTGAACATAGTTGTTGCAGTAGCGTGTTTGAGATGGGGGCTTGGGATAGGATAGTTTAAGAAGGATGCTGGCGATCGAGTCTTTTTAAGTTTAGAATGATGCTAGGTGGCAGGAGACGAAGTTTACCGAGATGTGTTCTCATCCAATAGGCTTCCATGCACGTGATCTCAATGGACCATGGAAAGAGCGAGCTTCAGGCGACAAGCCTCAACCCTCCGCCAGCCGCTGCCCTCGAACGCGACCGAGTATCACCTGTTGACGCTCCCTCGACACCACTCGTGGCCGTTTTGTGCTCCATCGACAAACGTAGACGCCTGCGCTGCGATTCACTCACTTGCTCGCGCCATAGCATCTTGTACTCTATTCGTGTTGTATTCACCTTGCGACTGCCGCTGGATACCCCCTCGCGCCTGCCGCTCCCTGACGCCCGTACCCACTCGTTCACCACAACTATAGTCGTCGCATTCACCACGGCGCAAAGCCAGGAACAATAGCCCGCGCAACAACAATACCACTGTTGTCGCTATACATATACGTACGCAGCCATCGGACACGCCTCTTCCGCTGTCACCGCTGTTCAAGCCTTGCGCATCTCAAACACGCAACGCTCCACCCACGCGCACACGTCTCTTGTCATGCGCACGGCACTCTGGTAGCATTCCGAACACCCACCTTTTTGGAAAGCCCTCCGTCCCCGGCCACCCGCCGCAATCCTCCGCCTGCTTAACAAAACTACCGCCCCTGTCGCTCTTTCCCTCGCTCGCTAGTGGTGAGCAGCCGGCCTGTCACCACCATATCGCGAATACTCACTCGACAACCGAAATTGCCTCCTCCTTTTGGCTACAACAACCAACCCATGTCCTAGCGACCAAGTCACTCCTTAGACGAACAGCTGGACTGCAGGCCACCGTACCGCTGAGCGGATACCTACATACACACATACATACATACCGACTAATACCGAATCGCCAACATGGGGTGCTGCGGAGACCGCGAAAAGGGAACTACGGTGACGGAGGAGCAGAAGTGGACTTATATCGTAAGCACTTGAGCGCGAATACGGAAGCGCATCGCTAATTGTGTTAGAACTTGTCCGACTTCAAGTCTACATCTTGCCTCGCACCCTTCTCTTACGCCTGGCTGTGGATTCTCGTTGTCATCTCATGCGCCGTCTACGCCGCCGATGCCTTCACCGCCGTCAACCTCCTCGCTTTCGACAAATGGACTAGCCAGGTCAAGCCTACCGTGCCTTTCGACATTGCTAAGTGGATCTTTGCCATCACCATCATCGTCTCCTACGTCTTTCTCGCATACCGATGGATCCGGGCTCTGCGCGTCATGCGGACAGGAAGTGTCACCGAATGCTACCTCGAGCCATTGGCTGCTATACTGCAGAGTATGCGCATCACAAAGACTGGACAGGGTTGGCGCCGCTTCTTGGTCTTCGCAGAGTTGACCAAGAGTAAGAAGGGTGCCAACTACATTGCCCTTTTTGTGTACTTCCAGTTCAAGAGCGCTCTTCTCATAATTGTCGCCCAGGGACCTCGCATTGCCCTCAATGCCATGACTTTATACGCCGTCATGCAAGCGCAGCTCATACCCGTCGGCGAGCACGCGTCAGAAGATCGCTCCAACTTCGAGCAGTTCTTCATGAACATCAAGCTCATGGTCGAGACCGGCAACAAGCAGGAAACAGTCATCTACTTCACCATGTTGTTCTCTCTCGTCATCTGGGTCATCGCTGCGCTGGGTCTCATCATCGCTGGTATCTTGTACCTCTTCTTCCTCTGGCACTACATCCCCAAGGCTGATGGCAGTCTTACCAACTATTGCCGACGCAAGGTCGAGACCCGTCTGGAGCGTATCGTGGGCAAGAAGATCAAGAAGGCGATCGAGAAGCAGAACCAGCAGCTGAAGAGGGAGGAGGAGAGGGCCATCAAGAAGGGCGAATTTGACGCTTCCAAGTCCCGTCCCACGCTACCCAAGCTCGAAGGGGACGATGACGATACATCGACCGTCTTCTCGCTGCAACGATCCGACACGATGCAGACCACCGCGACACTGCCCCCGTATACCCTCGCAAACACACCTTCATACAGAACAAACCCGGAGCGATCGAACACCTCGAACACCTTCAACACCATGAACTCGGGCCGAAACTTGATGAGCAAGCCGTCTCTGCCCACGCTAGACGAGCGACCTGGCATGCCAGAGCGGGACGCACAATTCACAAACTTCTCGACTGCCAGCTTCGCTTCAAACGCGCCAATGCTGAACCAGGCAGGAGGTATGGGCAGGTCGTCGCCTGCACCACAAATGCCACCTCTAGACCGTAACGGCACTGGGTACTTTGGCCAGCAAGACAACCTGCCATACCAGTCCGACCGACCTTTCACACCAATGTCACAGGGCAGAGCGTCCCCACTCCCACCACGTGGGCCCATGCCCCCTGTGGATACAAGCTACAACAACGGGCGATACGAGAACGATCCTCAACTCATCACTCCCCTCGATGCGCGGAATACACCACAACAAGCTCACCCCAACCGACCGTACCAAGAGTTCAGCCCCTACGACAGCCGGGGTCCTCAGATGGGCCCGGAGTACGAGCTGTCACCTGTCGATGTCAACCCCACAGAAGACATCTCGCAGCACTACTTCTCGGACTCAAATGGACAGCCCGACTACCAGCCACCTCAAATGCCCAGCTTGTTAAGAGCTGGCTCACCCGCCCCATCACAACCCATGGGTCTACCATCGCAACCACGTTCAGGTACCGCGCCTCCACGATCTGGCACCGCGCCACCCCGAGCTGGTGTCCCAGCATCACTGCAATCTGCAATCCAGCGTCGCGAAGCCTCGCAACCTTTCCCCAACCGAGGGATGAACGGCTCAGCGCCGCCTCAACAACAACAACGAAGTGCAACAGCACCGATTCAGCAACCAGGTTGGGCTCAGGGACCTCCTGCCCGTAGCTACACGCCCCAGGGTCCCGGCCCCCAACGTAGCTACACACCTGTCTCTGGACTCCAACAACAACAGCAACAACGCAGTTACACCCCCACTGCGCCTCGTGGCTACGACAACAGCTACAACTACTGATCTCCCTCATTTCCTTTTTTTCACACAACGTTTGGAATCACCACATTCATGCATCTCACGGCGTTCACTTCTCTCTGTCATCTTTGTGCCTGAGGCCGCCCAACCCCCATTCTTTCCTTACAACTCTTACATTCATACGCACGACGTTCTCTCCTCCACGCCAATGTGTGAGTGAGGGAAATGTTTAACGACCGTTTTTCTGTTTTCTACTTTCGCTCTTTAGCTTGGTTTCGAGATACCCCCACCCGCATGGCTGGCCTCGGACGTCCTTTCGCTCTCTTTGTTTTTTACGCGTTCACCTGGAGGACTTTGGTTGGATGACTTGGTGGAATGATTTATCTGGTTATGTGGAGGGGCTTGTCTCTTGTGATGGATGAGGGGATGAGGAGATGGGATCTAGGCTTTGGCTTAGACATGTACAGGTAGCGTGGTTGGGTTACATCACCCTCAAAAGTGAGGACTGTCTGCGCTGGGAGAGGCGCGCAGACGTGTATTATATACCCACTTTTTTTGCGGAGAGTTGAGAGCAAATGGAAACTTGTGCATACTCATATCGAGATTTTCGCTTCACTCCAACCAGATATCCTCCCGGTGCCCGTCATCCGTCAAAGAACTAAAAGTCTGCTCATCCATATCCCGGAACTGCAGCGCTCCCACCCGCCGATACATGCATTCAATCTTCCATCCCATCTTCATGACTCGCTCTGACTGCTGCAACATGAGTTTCTCGAATGCATCTAGGCGCCATCTTTGTTCTCGAGACGGTTCTACGCCTGCTAGTGCGCTTTTGTAGTCCTGGTACAGCCGTTCTTGCTCGGCGAACCAGGTACGGCATTGGATGAGGAGGAGGCCTACACCGGAGTACGTTTGGCGCGCTTGGGGGGTGTTGGTGGTGTTTGGAGTGGCGGATGCGGCGAGGATGACAAATGCGCAGTGTTCTGGGTCGATGCATGTAGTCGCTCGTGGAGTGTCGAGGAAGACATCTACTTCAACGGTGTCGGTAGAGATCTTGCTCGGGAAATGGAGACGGTCTTGGTCTTCTTGACCTCTGACCAGTCGCCCAAAGTTGATGTGGGCCTTCAGTGCCAGTGTTCTGCTCTCTAATATGGGTTCCTTGTCGCCTTGTCTGGTCTCTTCTTTGACCGCAAACCCGACGACAGCTTCATCATGATCTGTAATCTTGTACGGTCGTTTGGCTAGTCGGTGTTGAGGCACAACGGCACCCTTGATACTTGCCCAAGACCAGCTGGGGATATTGGCGTCTAGCTCCGGCATCCTCTTACATGCTTTTGTATCCCGCACTCTCCAAGCCAGTTGCTCCTCGAGCGCCTCCGACCACATACCCACAGCGTATTGCTCGTTCATAAAATCGCGTAGCAGTTTTGCGATACTCCAGATTGCGATTGTCTTGTCGCCTTGATTGGTCAGTTCGCATTCCGTGTAGTTTTGAACCGCGGACATCCAGAAAGTGTAGGAGCTTTCGTTGTCAATGACACCGACCAAGGCGTTCGATGAGACGGTGCTTTTAGCTAGCCGTCCTCTCCAGTGTCGATCCGTGCTCGCTTTGTGGTCGAGAGGGAAGGGAAGGCCTTTTGGGAATACCTCGCAGGCTGAGAGCGTGCCACAGTCCCAGAAGATCTGATGCTTTGTGAAGTGGAGGATGCGAGGAGAGAGGATACGTTCTGTTAGTTACTCAAAGTCAGCTTCTGGAAGATCCAGGTATATCGTCGACGGCGAAGGTGTCAACGGCTCTGCTTACCTTGAAAGACCCACGCACGACCGTATATGACGGAGCTCAGAAGTTCTTTCTCCCAAAGGTCCGCCGGGACAATCGTCCAAGCCTTCTCCCCCAGATTATGGTGTGTATTGGTACCTTTGTATTCGACCGGAAGAATTTGGTGAGGCTTTCGTCTCCTGAATAGACCGCCGTATGCATCCTCTGAGTCCGCTGCAACGATATTACAATGCGAGTACCGATACACCTTGTGCATGAGATCGGCCTCTTTTGCAAAGTCGCCGAAAGGTTCCTGAACGATTGCAAGACTATCGATCCAGATGTACCGCACCTGCAAGAAACGGGTCACTCGTATCGCTTCTTGGAAGTTGTCTGGAAGCTCATCTAGGGGAATGCCTGTGATCAGATGCTTGGCCATATTCCACACGGTAGTTGTTAGGAACTTCTTCTCTCGTGGTCCCCACGCGTGGCTCAACGTACAGTAAGGGCCCTTGACTTTCGTTGTTTTTGTATCTATCAGGCGGATGATGTTGTCATCTCCAGTGTCAACATCCAGAAGTCGCGTCGGTAGAAAGGAAAGCTTGGATCGCTGGTCGTGCCAGGCTATGCTGCAGTCTTGATGATCGCGCATACAAGTACCCATCCATTTGTTGATTTGATCCCCGCCACTGAGTTCTGGATCTGTTGTTTCTTGTAAGATTTCAGGCGTAGGTACATGCAGATCAGTCCCTGACAGGAATCGAAAAGACTTGGTTGTAATTTCCGGATGAGAAGACCGAAACCGTAGCATCATCGATCCTCTTAGCTCCCTCCCGCGCGGCAGCGCTCGAAGGGTCCAGTGATACAACGGCCAGTCTCCAGTGTCCGATAGGAAGTGCCCCATGTTGGCGTAGAGCGATGCGCAAAAGGTGCATTGGTTTAAAGCGATATTTGCACCATCCATTGAGAGACGATGTTGGCCGGAGGATGCAGCGGACTCTAATATATTGCTGACGCAAAAGCCACATACTCTTCCTGGCGACTGGGTTGACACCGTTTCCGCTGGCGTGACTTTTCTCTTAGGCTGATGGTCCTGAAAGACACCCCGAGACATCCTCGGTACATACTCGGCGCTGTTAAGTCTAGGAGGCGATTGGACAAGTTCCTCGTCCTTGTCGAGGAATACAGCCCGGTCGTACGTACCTTCCAGCTCGCGGATGCCAAGACCATGTTTGAGGCTCGCGAGTGGTGTTGGGGGAGGCCTTTCGCTTGCTAATGTGTCGACTGTGCTCCCTAAGAGATCAGGCGTCTGGTCTGGTGAGGATGTCTCTTGCAACTGATGTGACGGGAGGGCGCCAGACCTTTCCTCCGCTACAGAATTGACTTGGCGCCTTGCTCGTTCTAACGAGTCATTATAATTCTCTTTCACATAAAGTAGGAAGGCGGGCTTGCAGCATATATCCACCTTCCGGTCTCCAGTGCGTAGATCCGTAAGCCATCCATTTGCTGCTTTGAAGACGTCTTCAACAGATCTAGGATAGTCTAAGTTTGAACAATTGCTTTGAGCAAGGCGTATACACTGTTCAAGTTCTTCCAGGGATATTCCATGCGGATAATTTGCAGCGGCAGCAATGGCATATAACGGAGGTAGACGCTCAGGTTCCGCTTTGCGTTCGATGAAATTCATCTCGGTATCAAAATAGGCGATTACATCCCTAGACAGCCTGTCGTCGACTCGACCTCTGCTGAAAGTGGCAATATCGTCCCTGGCCAAGACCTCTTCCAGATACAATAATGCGAGTGTGATGTTGCCACCAGCCTTTGAATTGATATATGCAACGATGCGATTCGTATTGTCTTGTCGGAGATCGAGGTAGTGCATGCTCAGTCTTTTCTCAAGCAAGCGCTTGATGTTGAAATGGCCCAATTTGATGCTGACCTGCTGATACGGTTCGCTAAAATCATTGACAGGGCACTCGTGGGACTTTTCCAGGTGTCTCTTCTCTTCACAGTCGTAACACAGATCAAACATGTTACAATTCGAACATTCCCACCAGAGCTCCATGTACTCCTTCTCGCATATGTCGCATGCTTTATTAAGGGATATAGAGAACACTGGAACTCTCCGTGTCATCATCACCTTAAAGCCGCTGAGCTTCAAAGCGGACAAGTGTGTATCAAGAACCGATTGTAATGCCTCGTTGATGCGATCGTATCCGTCGAGAATGAGGAACTTGCAAGCATTGTGGGCGAAGCTACTTAAAGCTCCGATCAGCTTCTGAATGCGCTCGGTCCCCGAACCACCGGAGCGACAGGCGCGCTGATAGGCGCCATAGTCTTCACTGGGTTCAGCACCGAATTCGGAGTATATTAGCTGAAAAAGATCCTCGATAAACCCCAATGATGTCGACCACACATGCTGTGTGATGGATATCGATGCGACAGCCGTGTTGATCCCGTTTATGCTAGGCGGCAGACGATTGGCAGCGAAAGCAGCTACAGTCGTCTGTCATAGTAAGCACTGTTCCCTGTCAGATCGCTAGGAGCTCACTTTGCCACATCCAGGCTCTCCACAGCAATGTAGCTCCCAGAACCTACTACCTGAAGCCCATGCGCAGAAGGCCGGGGATGCGAAGAATCTGGTGAACAATGTGGGATCATATTCGCTGCCATCTAGCGTGTTTCGGCTCAAGGCTGAGTGTGGTACGTGAGTTTGCGGCGCGAAAGGATCCGGAACGACTTCAGTCGCGGCATCCGACATTTTTGCAGGCGCCACTGAATTCGAATTGCATTCGCAAAGAAGCTGTCATCTCATCACTGTTCTTTGGAGAGTGCGGGTGTTGTTCTTGAGAGTCAGGACGAACGACGGGTTTCTGTGGGTCGGCCCCACTCCAAACATTCAGTGTATCCGTGCATTTGGCTTATGTCATGCAGCCGGTCAATCAGCCCGGCGCGTAATATACAAATAGACATCGACCTCCGCCTCTCCACAATATTGGTGTCAGCCGGGACGTCTGACACTTTAGCGCTGTGTTTTGGTCGACGATATACACCACTTTCTCATTCGAGCTAAACCTTTGCCAAGTTCCCGTGGTCGCTGCCTCTTTTCTACCGTGCTCATTTGCCTTCTTTACCCTCTTCCCAGACAGTCCCGCTCATTATTGGAACAACGTTCCATCGCACGAGACTTTCGCCTCAGCTGTCTTCACTATCAGTTCGATAGGCGCCAACTTAAACTACGTTTGCTGACTGAATTGCAAGAAAGAGAAGGTCCTATTGTCGAGCTTCCATCTATCGCTTGGACGTCCACCCAGCTACAGGGCTGTGCAAACTCATAGCTAGCTTCCCATCGACTTCAAATATACCAGATGGTGGACTTATATCTCTTGACAGCCTACCAAGAGCTTTCACCGCGTGGAGTGGGCCGAAAGGTCGTGTGGGGGCCAGTGGTGGCTGATGCGCAAGATGACTGCCCTGTGCTTCATGCATGCACCCACACACCAACCGACAAGCCTCCCGTGCAATCTCAAGAAAGGCTCAGAATATCTCCTACTCTGGTCTCCCCTGATTGTGCCTGCGGCAATTGTTGGCTTCGTGCCTTGGCACAAGCAAGTGTTCATCCACTCGCCAGCGAACGCCTGCGGCCTACCGTTCATACACAATTATAAACTTCGGGAGTCTCCCTGGTGGCTAAGCAAACGGCTGCTACAAGTTTAGATTCTTGTCAGTGCGCGTAGGGAAGTTACACAAGATGTCATCACCCAAGTTAAAAGGTAAAGGAGATCCACTTTATGTACTAACAACATAACTCGCTTCGATTACCGATTACCAATTCCTAGTCACTCGTCATGTCTTTCGTTAAGCTTCTGGTTATTTCCTGTTTGTCGGTATATGGGTGGGCAAACCCTCTAAAGGGTGCTTTTGCACTTAGGCAATTCGAACCTCCTACAGCTTCTCCGGAAGCTGTCCCGACTCCGTGTGGAGACATTATCGTCGCTGTAAACAACGGTTGGTACCATATTCCATGATCGGGAAAAACAACTCGACTAATCAGCACAAAAGGATATACACTTTTCCGAGCATCACGGGTGTACGAGTGTTTGCAGAGCATTCCCTTCAACCCAGCCGTCGCATTACGCTTTCTCGACTACTACAATATGACCCTGCAATTTCAGTCCACGCTGGAATATCTCAAAGCGCCACCCGCGGGCTACCAACGAGCACCATTCGACGTAGACCATGCACTAGAGCAGATCAAGCAGAACGTAACTACGGCTGTCTATAATAATCAATACGAGTTCGAAGCACAAGTTCAGCTCCTGGTCACCCAGATACGCGACACGCACGTTGTTCTCAATGCTGGGGCTCTATCGGCATTTTCTTTTGCCGGCTCATTTGGTCTTGTAAGCGCATCGATCGACGGTAAACAAGTGCCTGAAATCTACCTTGCTCAGGACTTACACGAAGCTTCGGCGAGTAATGGATACAAAGCATCGCCTGTAACCCACATCAATGGGATTGAAGTGGTCAAATATCTGAAAACCTTTGCCGGCCAGAACTCTCAAGGATTCTTAGAACCCCATGCCGATTGGAACGCGATAATGAACAGCCCTGCGCTCAACGTTCAGGGTATCCCGAGTACGTTCCAATCGGCGAAGCTGTACCCTGGGGATGTGGTCTTCTCCGATGCGCTCAACTTTACACTCCAAAACACCACTGTCGTCGAGACCGTTTGGTGGGCAACTTGCCGCGATTGTAAGGAAACAGGACCTCTTACCACTGGCGGCGACTTTTACAACTACTTCGTTCTCGGATTTCTGCCAGAGAGCTATCGTGAAGGCGAAAAGTGGTGGCCAACCAGCGAAGACGACTTTCATCCTCCATCCGACGACAACGCCAGTAGTTTCAACTTAAAAGCTGCACTGGAAGACTATTGCATGGACCGAGCTCCGCCAAGCCAGAACTGGTGCATGAGCAGCTTCGGCGCATACCCGACGAATCCCATGACTACCCAAGCAGATCTTTCCATCACAGGAGGAGGTATCGTATCTAGCTATCTGTTAGATGAGACATCCACGGCCGTCCTTAGCATACCCTCATTCTATCAGGGCGGTGTGAATACCTACAACTTTCGGCAAGCGATTCGCGACTTCATCGGCAACGCGTCACAAAGTCAGGTTTCTCGTGTCATTATTGACCTGCAACAAAACTCCGGAGGTCTTGTTTTCCTTGCGTACGATACATTCAAACAATTCTTTCCGAATCTCGAGCCCAATGGTGCAAGCCGCCAACGTAGTCATGAATTGAGCAATCGGCTCGGTTCAGCCTATACGGAGTGGTGGGAACATTCAGGCCACGACCAGACCGAGAATTACAACTGGGCATCGAGCGAGTGGATCGTCACCAACCGGATCAACACTGCTACTGGGAAAACCTTCTCGTCTTGGGACGAGTTCTACGGTCCAGAGATCAGCGACGGCGACAAGTTCTCAGGAAGTCAACAGTACAACTTGTCCGATGAGAATTTCGACTATTCAGCATTCGGCGACTATCCATATGGATACGAACCACGCGACCATCTGACCAACAGTACACCACCTTGGGCTCCTGAGCACATCGTCATTCTCACTGATGGTCTCTGCGCCTCTGCGTGCGCCCTCTTTGTGGAGTTGATGGCATATGAAGCCGGAGTCAGAACCATCGTCGTTGGTGGTCAGCCCGAGCCTGGCCCTATGCAAGCAGTCAGCGGCACGCGTGGCGCCGCCGCGTACTCCGCTGGCGCCCTCGACTCCGATTTTGACGAAAACCTGAAGTACTTTCCTGTGGACAAGCCTGAAGTAGTTTCGCAACTGCCCGACCGAACGGATACAGGAATATGGATCAATTACGCTGGGTTCACGATCCGGAATCAAGTTCGCGGTACAGATTTCACACCCCTGCAGTTCCAATACCAAGCTGCCGATTGCCGTATCTACTACACGGTTGAGACAGTCTATAACATGACGCAACTTTGGCACCACACCGCCCGTGCAGCATGGGACGACCCGACTCTTTGTGTCCAGGATTCCACAGGATATCCAACGGCCCGTAATAAGACCTCGACTAAACTGCCTCCACCAGCCACATCAGTCGCACTTGCAGTCTACGACTTCTCACTTCCGCTATCCGCCGATAACGCAACCTTTAAAATCCTCGACTCCACCAAGGTCAACAAAAGACTAGCTGGCAATATTATCTCGCCCTGTTACGAGAATCACGCTTGTCATTGTGGTATATTGGAATTAGATTGCGGTGGCTCAATGGAATATGTCTCTAAAGAAGTCCCTGCGTGTCTGCCAACATGCTCCACAGCGAGCGATTGCGTGGGCACTGACGACTACTGCGACATAATAGAGGAACCCTTGCAAACGAAAGCTCACGATCCGGTTTTTTATGGAGACACTGGCCTTGCGGTCCAATACTACGGTCACTGTAAGACGCGTAATCCGATATTCTGCCCGAAGACAGAGACGTAGTTAACCAAGAATGCACTTACAACGGCCAAAGGATTTGCTGAATAATGGGGCTGCATAAAATCATGGAGCAATACAACCATAAGCACATAGTATCTCCTGCTATCTCAATTATATTTTGTATCAATCTTTCTGGCTTATGTACATACAAAGTTTCTGAGGGAAGACACTGCAAATAAACTCGCCACAACCGCTTCGCCTGTATAACAAAGTTCGATGCGGGGTCTAGATCATTCGGTCTAGGAAGTTTTCAGCTTGAGACATAACGTTCGCGAAGCCACAGAAGCCTCGTATTCTGTCATGCTGCGGATGGTCCAGCCAAGATTGCTATGTTTCGATCAGAATCAACAGAGTGCTCCAAGATGGCCTCTCTCATCTCAACACAATTGGTTCCATGAGTTGGAGACTAACTTGGCTGCCGTTCGACACTCATGGACAAGGATGTTAGCGCAAAGTGCAGCAATGAAGAGTTAGGATACCAGGGACATTAAGGACGACATGGTAGTGGAACATACTCACGTCTCAATGCAGAACGTGGTGAAGTATGTTAGGCTCCATCATGCGCATTTCCGCAACTGAGACATAGGAAATGGAAAACTGAAAAGGTCAAAATATCAAACACACCCACATTACCATTGATAATATGTTGAAGGACACCAGGCTATATCATACGCCAGCCGACTCGGTTTGAACGAGACACGCCCTACAAATGAGGTACCTTGAGACTCGCCAGTAAAAGATTCACAATACTGAACAGACCTTCCCCGAGAATCAAACCACTCGCGAGCACGATAATCGGCGTCTCACTCCGGACTTTCCAGCGGCGCCACCACAGACTGAGCAAACCCCCAATAGTACGCGCCAACGTGAAAGAAGGCGTGTTGTACATGCCTACGCGAATGAGTTAGTTTACGAGATCTGAGAAGTAGCACGAGATGGGCGATGAACATACCAACAGCAACAGCAATACCACCAGGCACAAAGTCAATCCACCACCCACTTAGACCCCTCTGCTTTCTGCTGTTACCCCACACTCTGACCATCGTACCCACGGCGAAGATGATAGCCGCCCCACTAGCCCATTCCTTGACCATGGGCGGTAAACCCTTCCCTGTCACTAATCGCGCAGTAAAGACCCACACGTATCCCGTAGGCACCTCGAATAAGCCACCAGGGATCGTGTAAACATTAGTGTAGAGCTTATACACAACAGCGGATAACACCGCGCCAACCGCAGACCCAATCATCTGACCCCAGAACTGCGCGTTCGGCGCCGCGCCAAGGAGATGTCCGCACTTGAGATCCTGCAACAGATCACCTGCTTGCAGGGCTGCAGACTCAGAGATGGCGCCCGCAACAAGGTTGATGATGACTGCGTTTTTGGCGCCGGGGCCGGTGGTAGGGGTGACGAGCGCGAAGACGAGTTGGGTGAGCTTTGAGATGCCGGAGACGGGGTTGAGATCGGTTTCGCCGAGGGCGCGGACGCCCATGATGGATAGGACGAGCGCGAGGACGAGTGATAACAAAGTAAGGCGGAGGGGGATTAGGTTGGGGAATGACACGTGGACTGCGATGACGCAAAGGACTAGGGATGCGATGAGGCCGATGATGGTGGTGCGGTTTGAGACGAGGTGCTCCGGCGGCGCGTCAGGCTCGTTGCCTTCGGCTAGGTGCTGCTTGATTGTTTCCAAGGGATTGACGGATGTGCCGTCGCTGAGCTGGGTATACTGTGGCTTAGACGTGATGTTGAGCGTGAAGATCTCCTTCCAGGTATGTGACTGGAAGTTCTCTTTCGCAGTGGGATAGTAGGCTCTGACAATCGTGACGACTGGGCGTAGAAGAAGCCATCCCAAACTGACGAGGGAGTCTGCTAACATGATGGCTAGAGAGATCCAGACAATCCAGCCTTTTGAGCCATTCGTCCAGTCTGATACTGGCCCTGGAGCCCACTCTTTGTGCTTTGCGAGAGGCGACAGGATGCCCCATCCTATGATAGCACCAAGAAGCATGTGTAGTGTCGTAGCAGGACCCATAATGATGCCTTGACCAACGTATGCAGGTGAAGGGTTCAGAGTCCAGAGCCAGTTCTGCGCCAAAGAAAGACCGAATACGGGTATGTCGTGGAGCTGCGGGAGAAAATACGATACGACAGTGTATAGCGCGGATCCTCCGAACGAGATCAGCAATAGCCTAATCTTTGATCTCCAGTCTCCGTCTTCTCCGAGCTCTTGATCTGGGTCCTTCATGCTGTCGTCCATGGATGGCCTGAGGTCATGCTCTTCTCGCTGCGCGCTTGAACCTTGCAACAGGCCCTGTGTCTCTCCATCGCCGGACCGATCGTCCCCGTCTTGGTTTTCTTCGCGTGCCACCATCGTTTTTGATTTCTCATCTCCGTGCAGCACTCTAATGAGTAGCGCTGTCGCAGTCCCACTTGGAAATTTGAGCTTCTCTCGAATAATCATCTCTTTCCGCAGAGGCACTGCAAACACTACTCCAAAGAAGCAGATACCAACAGACCACACTATCAGTTTCCACAGACTGATATCCAGCGGTCCGTTCTCTTCAGGCGTCAACAGATAGTTCAGCGCAGGAATCACGCCAACAAATCCGCATCCGAGGGGCATGGTGCCGACCGATCCAGCGACTGATTGAACCAAAACATTCTCCACGGGCGTGAACGGCAACTTGAGAGTCCTGGCAACGACCTTGAAGTACGCGAATCCGATCAGAGCAGAAGGCATAGCCATGCCAGAAACCCAACCCGTCTGCAGCCCAAAGTACATGTTGGAAAAACATATCACAACCCCAATCGCCAAGCCCACCAAAACACCCCTCAGCGTGAAGTTTTGCGGCTGATCTGCCTGCTCAGCCAGATACCTGCGGGCACCTGTCGTACTGCGGCCGAGCGCATGACCATCCCCCTCTTCACCAAGCCCATCTCTTTCGTTTTCCAGCGATGCAGATGATCCCCGGTCTGGAGCCATCCTCGAGATATCCTGGAGCTGAATCGACTCAGCCAGCGTGAAGACGAGGAAGGCGCATTCGGGAAGGAAAAGAAAGAGGTCAGAAGGTCGCTGATGGGAAAGATAACGGAGTCTTGACAGGGTATGGCGTGCTTGGGCATGTGCACGCGATGATGCAAGGCGATCTGCTAGCGTTGGCGGATCCACACGTGACAGCCGGCTGTTATTGGCGGAGTGAAGTGCTTATCTCCGATTTGTCAGATTGCGCCAACATCGACAACGGGCATCGCGAACTGCTAGACAGGGGCGCGTCGCGGGTCCGCAATACGACGTCAAGAACCCTCTGAACAGCCCGCTGTTCTAAACACGACATTGGCTTCGCGATGAAGTTCTCCGCCGCCCTCCTGCCTTTACTGGCAGCTCCCTTCGTTGCCAGCGAACACACATCCAACTGGGCGGTCCTCGTCTCAACATCACGCTTCTGGTTCAACTACCGCCACCTCGCCAATGTCCTCTCGCTCTACCGCACCGTCAAGCGTCTCGGGATCCCCGATTCGCAAATCATCCTCATGCTGCCCGACGACATGGCATGCAACCCGCGCAACGCCTTCCCCGGAACCGTCTACAACAACGCAGACCGAGCCCTAGATCTCTACGGCGACAACATCGAGGTGGACTACCGGGGCTACGAAGTCACGGTCGAGAACTTCATTAGGTTGATGACAGACAGAGTGGGCGAGGACATGCCACGGAGCAAGAGGTTGATGACGGACGAGCGGAGTAACATCCTCGTGTACATGACCGGGCATGGCGGAAACGAATTCCTCAAGTTCCAAGACGCAGAGGAGATTAGCGCTTTCGACCTCGCAGACGCGTTCGGACAGATGTGGGAGAAGAAACGGTACGTCCATCCCTCCTCCCCCTCCACCACACAAAGCCATCTCCTAACATAATCATCCCAGCTACCACGAAATCCTCTTCATGATAGACACCTGCCAAGCCAACACCATGTACTCCAAATTCTACACCCCCAACATCCTCGCCACCGGCTCCTCTGAAATCGACCAATCCTCCTACTCCCACCACGCCGACAACGACGTCGGCGTCGCTGTCATCGACCGCTACACATACTACAACCTCGAGTTTCTGGAGAACCAGGTCAAAGACCCTACCAGTAAACTTACCATGGGGGATTTATTTGATTCTTATGACGAGGAGAAGATACATAGTCACCCGGGTATACGGTATGATCTTTTTGAAGGGGGGGAGAGGGCGGCGAGGGAGAGGCGGGTTATGGACTTTTTTGGGAATGTGCAGAATGTGGAGGTTGAGGGGCGCAATGAGACGGGCTGGGTTGGGGAGGCGGGGAGCAAGGTTAAGCTGGTGAAGTCGCAGGATCAGAGTGTGGGGAATGTGAGTGCGGAAGAGGTACCGCACCGAGCGCGTACAGAGGGAGCTTGGAAGGTGGATGAGGAGCAAGGGTGGACGAAGCAGGCGTATGGGGCTGCGGCTTTGGTGGGCTGTGCGAGTGTTTGGCTTGTGGGGAGTTGGATCGAGTCTATGTAGTGTCGCAGAGACTTGTCGTCTTTCGTATTTTCTTTTTGACGTCAATGATACCCACCATTAAAAACTTTCTGTTCTGAACTATACTACTGGGTGCTAGGGTTTGTTCTGGATGGGATTGTTCGGTTCGGACTCATTTTTATGTTGACATGAACTTTAGTGAATAATTCCACAATGCGTGGCAAGGACGAGCCTGGAAGATATATCATTCCGATCATTTCACGATATCACATTACATCACATCCTGTAAAAAACCGTGATGAAGCGTTCGATTGCTACTTTTTCACTAAGCGTAGAACCCGCGAAAAGGAAACCCCATAAGGTATCGTATGCCGTTCTCCGTGATCCATGCTATGCACCGAAACTCCTCTAAAGAACATGAAACCAATCTCAATTCATTGCGATCACATAGCATCGTGTATCGCGCCGTGTCGCGTGAACTCCACATGTGTTGCCCGACGATCGAACCCCGCTGAA